AGGGGATTTCTTTTTTCCTTTTTTTTTGGGGGGGAAAATATTCCTCATCCCCCCCCCCCCCCCCCCGATTTTTACCTTGGGGCTGGCCGGGTGACCCCCGTAACCGTACCCGTAGGATGCCATGCCGTACCCAGAGAACCCGCCAGAGGGAGACAGGCTGTAAGCGCTTTGTTTTTGTGGCCCCCCCCCCCGGTGTTTGCCATCGGGGTTTGGGTTTTCGTCGCTTGGCAACGACGTTGTAAAACAAGCCAATTCACTTCGTGAACTCGGCAACCAGGTTACCGTTTTTTTTTTTTTACCTCGTTTTTTTTTTTTGGCGGTAACTATGAATGGTGGTCGAGTAGATCATGTTGTGCGGGGTCGAGAAACCTCACTCCGCGCAACGGGGGATGATCGCACCACGTTGTGTTAAAATGGTCCAAGCTTCCTCGAGGCAGTTACACAGTGCTTACAACTGTCTCTGGGAAGTGAAAGCACCAGAAAAATAAATTAAGTAATACGCAGCTGTCATCCGTACCGCAAGGAAGTAAGCACAAGATGCCGAACACCTTTACCGGGAGGCAGCTCCCCCTTCTTGGGACTCCCAAAATCCCCCAGGGGGTTTCGCCTTTGGTAATGGGAGACCCTGTTCCGGGGAAACCCCGCCATCCTCCTTCCCGGTTTTGTGGGGATGGGGGGTCAATGGTCAAAGGATTCCGGCATCCAGGATTTTGGTTCCCCCCCCCCCCCCCCCCCCGATCTTTACCTTGGGGCTGGCCGGCTGACCCCCGTAACCGTACCCGTACGATGCCATGCCGTACCCAGTCAACCCGCCAGAGGGAGACAGGCTGTAAGCGCTTTGTTTTTGTGGTGGCGTATGGCAAGGCGTAGCACCGCCGACACGCGAGACAGGCACAACAGGGCAAAGCAGAGAGGAAGGGGGGGGGGATTTTTAGGCGGACGGCGGGAGCGTCGAGGGGCGCGCACGGCTTGGCATGGCAGCCAGAGAGATGGAAGCGGAGCGTTGCCTCAGGCTCATTTTCTGGGCGGTGTCAACGCTGGTGTTGAGGGGAAAGGTTAGGGTTTCGACGAGGATGGCAAGCAAGCAAGTTCAACATGCCAAGAGCGACCAAAAACCTCATCGCGAACAGCGAAGCTCATCACACTATCACACCATCCAAGATGCACAAGAAACACCACCGACCGGCTGATGTCATCGCGGGGCACGACCAAAAACCGACCCCCACGCCCAAGGCAGCGGCAGACATCTTTTCTCTTATCAGACATATAAATATGCAGTGGGACAAGCCTACGACACCACAACAACAGCTTGCAAGGCACGCCAACGATCACCGCAAGAACCACCGACAACATTATCCATGGAAGAACAACAATAAAAAGACACACACCCGCCGCCGTAGTCCCGGCCATCGTACGCCGCCTGATGTTGCTGCTGCTGGTGCTGCGGCTGCTGGTGCTGGTGCTGCCTCGTGCCGCCGTACTGGTCGCCGACCGCCCTTTGTCCCGACGGGGGCCCAGCCACGCTTCCCCCCGGCGAAGCGAGGTAGTGGTGGGTGCTGTGGTTGTGGCTGGTCTTGTTGATGCTGGAGGTAGTCGAAGCCGTGTCGCGCACGCCGGAGTCGCTCGCGCCGTAGCCTCCTCCGTACGCGGAAATCTGTTTCGTGTGGATGGGCGGAGGGGGGGGGGGGGGGGGGGGGGGAAAACCCTAAACCGGGCTGCCGGAATCCTTTAAACCTTTTCCCCCCCATCCCGTGGGGGGGGGGGGGGGGGGGGGGGGGGTTTCCCCTTTTTTTTTCCCCTTTATGGGTAAAAAACCCCCCCCCTTGGGGGGGGGGTTTTTTTTTCCCCCGGCCCCCCCCCCAAAAAAAATTTTTTTTTCTTCCCCCTTTTCCGCCCCGGGGGGACCACAACCGGTTTTTTTTTTGGGCCGGGAATAAAAAAAATGTTTGTTCCCCCGCAAAAAAATTTGGG